TCCTGCTTTGGAGGATGGAGCAGCCCTGCTGGGAGGATGTGGAAGAACATCTAGGAATATCTAAGGAGGAGTTGGCTGACAAGTCAGAACAACTTGAGGAACAGCATTAGAAGTTTTAGCATGCAGCGACCTTTGGTCTTGGCCTTTTTCCTGATGTCCACCCTCCTCTATTCCCCACAGGCTTCCCTTTCCGATACCATTAGTAGAAGGGCTGTCAGTTACTGTTGTGGCTCTCATACAGTGCGCGGGTAGGGCCTGGGCAGGTCATGGGGGCTGCCAGCAGGCAGCAAGGGCTGCTCTCGCTGCCCCGAGCAGCAGGAACTCCGCCGTATTGAGAACCCCTGTGTTTTGCAGGTCAGACGGGGAATTCTTCTAGTGCATGGGAGTGGGGTTGTCTGGTTAAAATCATACGCTTTGCAACATAATCCTTTGGCAGACCTTCTTGCTGGCGTTGTTGAGATAATCAGCAACGTAAGAAACTCCAGATGAAACCTGGTAGTAGCCCATTGTGTCTGAGCGGGTCAGCAGTGCGAAGGTGCCAGCGCTGACCCGGAGGCACAGAGTGCCCCAGGGGTCCCTTCTGGCAGGAACCACATCTGTGAGGGGATGGAGGAGCAGCCGGGGGCTCAGCCCGAGGCTGTGCTACTGAGGCTGTGTCTCCTTTCCCCGGGACAGGAAGGACTGACAGCCGTTCCCCGCTACGGAGCACGGTGCCACTGGCTTCTGCTGTCAGAGCATGTTTTAAAGAACACTGTAAGAGAACTCGTGCTGTTAGATATAAGCCATGTTTGGTCTGGATGAGGCATTTTTCCCTCTGCAGATGAAGCACTATGTGTCAGAGGTGCATGCTGAGAAATGAAAACCTTGACAGATTAAGTTTGGTCAAACCTTTTTTTTTTTTTTTTTTTTGGGCAGAGATTCAGGTTGATGCTTTAATTTTTATTTACTCTCTTTCAATTAAAAAAATAAGTCTTACATGGTCAGGTGTAAAATTCTTGGCTTCAGTACATAGACTTTAAAAATTAGACTGAGCTCATTAATCTGATGGGACACAGAAGTAAAAATGAATGCCCCCAGTGCCAGTATTAGAATGAGTGAATGGAGGTGGAAGCTTCCTTGTATAGCCATCCTTTATCTGTTATCTATCTTCATCATAAACTCAGGTTTGTGTCCTGATTTATGCTGGCCTTGTAGTCCCAGGGACTTGTTTATACAGCACTTCTCGCTCCTTTGGGTTTCTGACTGACAGATCTGACAAAAATCTGTTCCAGGCTTGTGTTGAAAAGGAAAAATAAGTAAGGAATGTAGTTGTCCCCTGTCCCATCACACCTTGCCTTCTTGGAAGTAATGCTCTGTGGTGGGAACACTTAGATTTTCAAGAGGGAAGCAGATGGGCCACATCAAACTGTCACAGAAGTTCTGTGAAGTCCAGAGGACTGCAATTAACGTTGCAGGCCTGCTCGCTCTTCATTGCAGTAACGGTCACTCAGCCTGGTGTTTCGTCCGAAGTGTCCCACAGAGGTTCCGTTGCTGCACTCAGGCACGTACAAGCTGTACACTGTTGGAAAAAAGCCTGATTTTAAGTCAATTTAAATGTGTTTAAAGTACTTGCATTTAGATGAATTGGTTATTCAAGAGTCCATGAAGGTGGCCTGCTGTGCAGGCATCGCTGGTGCCGCGAGAGGAGATCGCCCAAGCACTGCAGCTCACAGGTTTCACTGTCGGGCGCTTGGGATGGATAGGGCGGCTCATAAAGTGATCTGAACAACACACTCACATTGTTGTATTGTAATTCCTCTCCACTCTATTTCAAATCAGCTTTGGCTGTTTCGGCTAATTCTTTGCAACTGCTGCATGCAGTCTTCAAAATCACTGCTGCTAGGGTGGCTTTTTCCCCACAAGCATGCCAAGTGCTGCTGCTGGGATGGTGCTGTGCCTACCGGACCTGGGGCAGCCAAAGCCCTTGGTGGGAGTTACCGGGGCTGGAGGAGCATTGGCCTTGTTGGGCCCCACCTGCCCTGGGCAGGGCAGAGGCAGAGGCAGAGGAGGGGGCCCGAGGCACAGCATCCCCTGGTGCCACTGCCTCAGCCACCTGCCCCAGGACTTCCCTGGGGCTGTCGGGCTTCAAGGCTGCCAGTGTGTTTTTGATGTGGCCAGCATTGACTCACGCTTATGATTTTAACTACAGGAGTTTTATCAATAACTGTGTTTATCATTGGACACATAGAATGTGAAGAAAATTTCAAAGAAACATCTTTCAGGTGTTTTGAAACTAAATTTCTGGTTACACCTGCTCTATTACTGCAGGGGCAGCAATTCCACCTCCATTTAAGACTTAAGGGGTGACACACTTCAAGTGCCTTGTTAGGCTGCAGGAGGAAGAACAGTGTGCATGGGTTGGAAGTAATGATGTGACTATATAGGATGGCTTTTACCTTCACAGCTGAAATCTCTAGTAGTAATAGAGAAGCAAAGGCTCAAAAATCTTTAATTTGATCAAATTAAACTTGATTATGGAGGCTTTCTATGGCCATTCAATTGCAGACAATAGTCTTTCAGAGGAGAGCTAGTTGAAAGGCTTGAATTCATTTTTCATATAAACTCCTCAACTGCTGGCAGCTATCCAAGAACAATAACTATCATTTGCATTAGAAAAAGATATTATGCATTATCATAGACTCATAGAATTGTCTAGGTTGGAAGAGACCTTTAAGATCATCAAGTCCAACTGTTAACCTAATACACGGCCATGTCCACCACTAAACCACATCCCTCAGCACTACATCTTACCTCTCTTTTAAATACCTCCAGGGATGGTGACCCAACCACTTCCCTGGGCAGCCTGTTCCAATGCTTGATAAAAAAAATTCTTGGCAGAAAGGGTTAATATCTATCTAAACCTCCCCTGGTGTAACTTGAGGCTGTTTCCTCTTTTCCTATCACCTGTCACTTGGGAGAAGAGACCAACCCCCACAGAGCTACAACCTCCTTTCAGGTAGTTGTAGAGCGCCACAGGGTCTCCCCTCAGCCTCCTTTTCTCCAGGCTAAACAACCCCAGTTCCCTCAGCCGCTCCTCTCAGGACTTGTTCTCCAGACCCCTCACCGGCTTCATTGCCCTTCTCTGGACGAAGTCTCAATGTCTGTCTTGTGCTGAGTGGCCCAAAACTGAACACCGTGCTCAAAGTGGGGCCTCACCAGTGCTGAGTACAGAAGGACAATCTCTTCCCTAGTCCTGCTGGCCACACTATTCCTGACACAGGCCAGGATCCATGGCCACCTGGGCACACTGCTGGCTCCTATTCAGCCAGCTGCTGACCAACACCCCTGAAGTAAATGCGAAATAAATATATATATATATATATATATAAAAAAATAATGAAGTAGATAAATTAGAAGCTACTTTCAAATGGCTGTTGAATTTATTTGCTTGATAAATACAATCCTAACAAAATAAAAGTTAACCAATATTAAGAGGTTTGTCTGAAGAACATTAGAAAAATCCACGACAATTCAATAGGAATTAGTGCGAATTAAACAACAACAAAAAAAAAAGGTCTAAATATTGCCAGCAAATATAAAATGTATGTAACGAAGGCAAGGGAGAATGCTTTAGTTTACATTTGTCATCTGACCACATTTTCTGTGTTTATAAACTTTTTTCCAAATTTTAAAAAAATACTATGCTGTTTTCTATAACATATCAAAGCATTATTTGTACAAAATCAAATCATGGCCAATGATTCACAACAGTGCAATAGAGAAAGAATACAACCACATCCAACAGGTGCTGAAAATAAATATAGAGATTAAAAAATAAGATAGCCTATACGCACTCTGTGGAGTTTGCTGTCTATATATGGATTGATGGATGAGTCTCATGAGTGTACCTGAAACATTAAATGGCCCTTAACTGCCAGCGTGGCCGGAGGCTTTCGACAGGCAGAAGCAGTAAAACAGCCAAACCAAAAAGCAAGTCCCAGGTGGTTGTTGGTATTGTGTTTTTTTTTTTTAAATAGCCAAAAAAAGAGGCTGTTGCTGAACCCCCTGTGCCTCCCCTTGGTGTCATTCTTGGCAAGCACAAGTGACTTGCGTTCCTGCAGAGGGAAATGCTGCTGTATTGCTTGGGCAGGTAGGTCTAGTTTGGGTGACATAACCCATCCCCATCCCCATCCCCACCTAAAAAGCACCTCAGTGGCTTCCTCCCAGGGACTGAAACATTTAAAATGGGCTAAGAAGAAAAAGCTCTTGGCTGCATGGCAGCAGTGTGACCAGGGCCTGCCTTAAACAGCTATGATGACGGTGGTTTATAAATGAGCAAATGGGTTACCTACCTCGCTAAAAGACATGAACGTTTTCATCATACAGGGACATAAATAACATCTCTCAAGTTTTTACATTTATTCAGTACATCTCAGAACAAAAATGAAGCTTAAGGGCATGTTAGGTAAACACGATACCCCGCAGTCTCCCACCTTTTCAGCCAACCCAATAAATTTAAAGCTCCCTTGTATATAATCTGCATCAGAAAGGTATCAAAGGCACAAGCAAGAAGTGACTAGGTTAATAAGCAGAGATAATGGTGAATGAGGATGAATAGATTCACAAGGCAAATCATTAGTAAGTGTGGGTGGGTTTTTGTTTATTTACTGAAAATGTGATCTTCCAATTTTGCTCCAATGAATGTAAATGATGATTTTGGTTTAAAATAAAACTGTTACTGAATTATTTTAAATCACCTGAAGGAAACCGGTCTTGAAATAATCTGATACTAACTGGAAAACTCTTCTGGCCTCTCCAAACTCACCTGAGTCTGATGAGTAGAAGCCACAAGTACTAGAGACAAAAGTCTCCAGGGCTTAAAAGTTTCTTTACAGAATGTACACAGCCAGCAATAATTTGTGCAGTTTGACTCAAATTACAGTAATTTGCACAGTTCAGTTGATTTTATGCATATCCAAGGAGCTGGATCAAATTGGAGTTTCTTTCCTGTCTTTACTCGGCGATGGCTTGACTTGCTGCTCCTTGCTTGCTTTTGGCTGCTCTTTGGCTGCTTTTGTCTCCAGGACAGTGTCTCTTTGCTGCTGAGGAACACCCCCGCGTTTTTCTGGCTCCTCTTCTTCCTGCACCTGCTGCTCCGATTTAGCTCGCTGCAGTAGTCGAAGCTGCACTCGCAGTTCTATGATGGCCTCTCGCTCCTCGTGAATCGCTTGGTTCAGGTGGTTGTTCTTTATCTTTTAAGTAAGGAAAACAAATGTCAGGGCTCCTTCTGACAAAGAGCTGCTGTAGCAGGGGGCCGCTTAGCATCGCACGATGAAGCTTTGCTGTTAACCCAGACGGCAACGTGGACTTGCGCCCAATCGCGATTCAAAAACAGAGCACGTGGGTTACATGCCCAGGCAAAATAGATGCAAAACTACCGGTCTGCGCACAGGCAAACATCTCCGCACAGACTAAATCAAGTAATCGTGAAGGAGAAGAGTACCAATTAATACTGAGACTCAGATCTTACCTCTAGTTCCTCATTCTGCCTCTGCAAATCTTCCAGGATAACCTGCAGTTCCTCCTCATCTTCACTCTCACTTTCACTCTCGGAAGAATATTCCTCGGTTTCGCTTCGGCCATGCTGCTGGCGACTGAAAGACCAATGACAAACTCCAGTTTAAACACTTCCTCGAGTCTGCCAGAACTATAGCAGCGTAAGAGAGTTAACTTATATCCACTGAATAATCTGTAATGGTTTTAAAAACAAAATCAGAATTTCCTTTCAAAGCTTAATTTAATAAACCATTGATTTCCGAGGGGGATTTTTTTAGTGCACAGGGTCCAGTTTCCTTTAGATCACAATTCCATTGTTATATTAACAGAAAATATCCTGAAAGGCCCAAAGTCGCTGAGATTTCAATAAAAAGAGGCGGCTTTCAAACGCGACGTGCATAGGGTAAGCTTTGAAGTGTAGTTTAGAGTATTATTTCAGAAGAGCATATATGTACTTTTTATCAAAGAGTGCTCGCCTGGTGGGGGCTCTGATGGAAGCAGTCTCCCTTTTACCTTTGTATTTCAGCTATTTCTGCTCGAAGACGATCTATTTCTTCCTTCTCCGAGGCAATCTGTCTCCGCAGAAACTGCTCCATGGCCAGCAGTTCTTCCTGTTCTGTTAAAATCTCGTTCTCCTGCAATGATCAATTAGTTCACTTAAAGCCTTGACTTTATGTTCTACAGGAACACGCGCTAAGTACAAGGTGATGCTGCCTCTGAAATACTTTCAGCAGAAGCGGTTAGCATGCCTGCTTTGAACTCTGATTCATCAAGACCTCAAAGCAAATGTATGTTCAAAACCGACAACGTCTGTTCTGAATCCTCACAACGATCGCTGTACTGAATAGCTGTGGAGATGACACACCAAATTCTGGCATGCTTGGCTGCCTATTTCCTTAAATCACAGGGGAAAGCTCTGGCTAACCAGAAAAATAACTAGAACAGATGAATTACAGAATACGTCTTTGAAGATGAATAGAAGGAGGAAAGTACAGTGGAGAGAAGATCAAAGCTACCGAGGGAAGCAAAGGAAGGCAAAAAAGCCCAAATAGTTCCCTCACTTCCTTTGA